GCAAGGTTGCAGCATTTTCTAGTCGAAACTTTTGCAGGATTTTCTATTATTTCCTCGTGACCTATCTTCAATGCTGCTACTGTATTATATCACTCAAATATGCGCATTCTGTTTGGATTCTATACAGGACAGTATTTCTTCTATATTCTTGGACGACTAGTCCATCTACGATATACGATAAGCCTCTGGAATCATTGTACGTCATTAACGTTTTATTCCAAATTATTAACAGTGGCCCTCAAAGTGTCTTACGGAACGCTTTTTCTGAAACACCTTTTCATCCTGATGTATGGAACAAACTCGAATTTCAATTTGTTACGCGGCAAACGTTGTGCATAGTGTAACTGAGGTGGTCCTGTTGTTCAACAGTTCAAAGAAGCTAACTCATTGTCAGAAACAGTGAGAAGTGCGGAAAGCGAAGACTCGCGAAAAACCATTTTGCTCTGTAAAACTGACATATTAATTCTAGAATTGATCAGAATTTAGTGGAAAACTGTTTCTTCGGAAGATTAGGAGAAGCAGCTCAATCTCCAAACAGATGTTAAGTTCATGGTACGAACTCCAAAGATGTAGCAAAGGAATAAAACGCATTTCACAACGCATAATCAGTTTTTGGATAAACGGCGGTTGCTCACGATACCATGGTCAGTTTTCCGTGTGAACAAACCACAAAGAAGGGTAAAAGACAGTCCATCCTGAATGCGGAATAGGCAGTAGGTTGTTTTCTACAAAAAGTCGGTGCTTTTGGGAAAGTCAAAAGAGCATTTTCACTTAGTGGTTTGACATTTTCTTCAAATCAGAAGAGCTCTTGAGAACACTGGCAGCTGCCGAAACCTCTCTCTTTCCGCGTACGCTTCCGATCCTCCACACTGCTGCTACCACATTTGAGGTCATTTATGTAGGAACGCTTATAAATTGAGGAGGCAGTCTTAGTGAGTCTGATTGCCAGGTCTTAACGTCACCCCAGACGGTTGCTCACACTGATCAGGACCTTGTTGCTTTTCGCATTTCCTTTCAACATTTCATTAACCTCCAGTTGCCATTATTTTCCATCAACTGCTGGGGCGTGTAAGAAGTGTAAGCGCTCTTCTATCAATGAATTGGATAACAATTTATCCTTTTCAATGTATTAAGTTGTTATTTTTTCGTGTACACTTCCCGTCCGCTGTGGCCACCACATGGATTATGCAGCCAATCACCCTCAGAGTGAGTTGACGCAAGAATGTGGGTGATACCCAATCTTGAATCCTCGTGTTGAGCTTTTATCAGGTTAGTAAGCATTAGTGACTTGACTAACAGTGGCGATCTACACACGTATTGACTTTACTTAGGTGGGTTGGGCTCTGACACTAGCGTAACATAAGCAGCAAGTTTTTGATGCTGATTCATCGGCCTTAGGTTGGATTTTTTTTCGTTACGCCCACTGCCGGGCGGCTGTAAGTACTTGGGAGTCAATGGCCCCCCGCTCGCGTGCATTAATGAGGAGTGGAATAATGTAACATATAAGAAAATTATGCCGTTATCTGCGGCCTCGCACCTTATGAGCGGTCTGTATTGCGAACGTAAGCGAGTGATTGCCGATGAGCCAAAAATTGGAATATTGAGAAGGGGGAAGTGCTTCGATCGGGGGTGGCAGATGATGGAATTGGTACTGGTTTATATGACCTTGGGTGGTTATCTTCTCGGCAGCGGGAAAAGGAAAAAGATAGGATGCTCTGGAGAGCGAAATGGCTTTGACAACTGAGAGTCAAGAAAGCCTTCAGTGACGTTCAGTTCAGCTGCCAGTGGAAGCGTTCTGCCGTAAATTTAGTCAAAGTATCACGGCTGGATTGAGTACAGTCTTACGGTTTTTGAATTTGTTACAACAAAACATTTTTTGTATTTCGTATTATCGTGTGTTGTGTTTCTCAAGCTAATGTTGTGGGTGAAATGACCATGTTTCGTGATCTTACGAGGCTCGAGTGCCGACTTGGCGCAAAATTTATTGGGGTGGTGTCGAGTCGCGACCCACCGTTTCGCGGGTTTCCGCGAGTTAGCGATTTGTGCGAAATGTCGATGGATTACAGGCGTATGGAAGGTTCGATTGGGTATACTGCCTAGGTGCTGTCAGCCTGCTGCGATTCTGCTGCGGAAGATGAAGGATGTTTGGATTCTAAATTGTTTCATGTTCAATTGGTTATTATTGGATGTAGGGGATTGTTGTTTATCAATATTCTGGATTCTATTATAGCAAGTGGAATCCGATGGCATGTATTTAGCCTTCCATCAAGCAGAAGTGGTGGGCGCTTGGGAGACACTTGCATGATTGGATGGGGCCTTGTGGTAACCGTGACCGTCGCGGAAATCGTGAATCAGCAAATCTGTGTACGGTTCCACGGACTGCGCCAGCTTTAGGTTCCCTTCTCTTTTTTTTCTACGAGATCGTTAGATTCATCAAAGAAACTGATTGCCACGTTTTATATCCTGCTTTCATGGATTTAGATGAGGGCGCTTTCATGGGTGCGTGCTTCATTATGAAGCGAAGTATGTGGTATGTTCATCTTTGTTTCGGTCATTCCGATAGTATTTCATTAGCAACTATACTGACAAGACCTTACTGTCAATGAATTTCCAGATGAAGTCGAAGGCGCATATCTGTCTTTCTTATTGGTCCGCTTTGTCGACTTTTCTGGAGTTGGTTTCCATGAACAGATTCCAAATCATTACGGCTTTCTCGTTGTATTTGTACCAATTTAGCTTTTACTTCTCAATAGCTATCATCGAGCGATGTTGTGCTACCTATTATTTGGAAGACTACGAGAAATATCGTCGGTTCATATCTCTCTGTTTTTGGTGGCGTTTCATTTTTTTAGCAGCGCTATATCAGCTGTCGTCTTTCAAATGAGTATGTTGAGCTTGTTTCAGCTTTGATGCAGTTAAGAAGTACAAATGTTCATTAGTCCTAAGACTTGCGAAAACGCGGGAAGGATTCAGACCTCATGATGTCATCGCCATCAAATGAGCATATAGCGGGCTAAGGGCAGATGTACACATTAACTTTGGGTCATCAGAGGGCAACATGCATGTGAAATAACCAACTTCCCGCTGTGAGAGTGTTGTGGCCCATTCCTAGAAGTGGCATTGCACAAGGCTTGGCCGGCGTCTAGAGTGGCAAAATAGGAGCGTTTGTTAGGTCCACTGTGGCCATGAGTATCTGAGAGTTGCGATTATGGACAGTTCGCTTTGCGCACTTCCGTCAGCGTGACCCCGATTATTTACAAAGTTGCGGAAGGTTGGGGTTGTAGTGAGAAGTGAGTGTGTATAGTAGTCATAAACTATGTGTATGTTGGCGCGAATGTGGGATTATTCATATAGTAGATGTTTTTTGAGAGTTTTATTCCAGTTTCCTCCTGATCAGCTTTGATGAAACCCATGTTTATCGGATTATCCCTCACCGTCAATGCTGGCAGTTTATGTTGTTTGTATTGTTCAGCAGTAATTAGGCAGCACAAACCTGCCACTGGTTCGTGCCGCTGTCCCAAAAATATAGTATTCGCCTTGTGATAGAATCTATGAAAGGCAGTGGCGACGGATTTTGGAGTATTCGCAAGATTTGATTGGCTACTTATCGTAATAACAAACTTTATGGAGAGTGGTGATTAAGATCAATCCCCCGTCGGATTCGTTGGGTTGGTGAGTGATTTATGAATTATTCGTCATACCTTGGTCCTAGCTGGCAGATGAGGTTACGTCAACGATGTCCCCGACGTGGTACATAAAGGCGGCAGCTGGGGCTTACGTGAGGTGCGGTAATGCGCGTCAGCTGGATTGAGCACCCGGTGAGTATGCTGGTTATGCCAAAGTGGCGATCCGCCTCGCCAGGATCGAGCATTCCGTGTCGGAGTCTGCCTGTCGGCATGCCCTTTCAGCATGCCGTGATCCGTATAAATAATTGTAAATTGCCTCCGGCGGTGCTGTTGAGAGGCATGTTTAAGGAAAATTACCAACACATGGTTATAGGAACTATAGAGGTAGGTCACATTGTTATAGGCTCTGTTTTTCCGCGAGGTGGTCACGGAGGAAGTTGCGCGGAGCGTAGAACCTTTAATACCAGTCTTCTGAAGTCGTTCCCGAGAATTCTTTTCTCGAATCATATGTCGCCCGCTGAACTCAGTTTTCTTGCTTATATTGTTAGGTTGTGAATAAAAAGTGATCGTGCCTTCTGCTTTAACAACTTTCGTAGTACTGGTTGTGTGTGTTTGCCGGATTGCAGTTTTGCGCGGAATTTCGATTTCTCACCCAATAGCCCTTCGTATGTATTGATTCTAGGACTTGATTAACGAGAGATCAACTCAATATTTTCACGAAAGTCGCCAGCCAGAGCTTAGCTCTATTCAGGGCCGAGCGTCAACTTCAGAAAACATAAGCTTGTGGTGGTGAATTGAATTGTTCTGTGTCCAATAATAGTAGGGATGCAGTGAAAGCAGGCGTTATCGTTATGTTACGCTGTTATATGGGTTTGATTTGCGGAACCGTTACGTTAATGTTTTTTGGTTACGGGCTTGTAGAATATCAAGACATCGCCATTAGAGGAGATTTGAGGAGAAGGGAGCGATGTTAAAGGAAACTGGCGTCAAAAGAAAGGTGGTGTGGGCAGAGGCGTCACTTTGTGCTCCGGACTAGTTAACCGTCGCTGTTCTTGCAAATTATTTTTTGCATAGCATTTTATGGTGTTTGATCAATGAACCGTTAACACGGAGGTTGAGTTTACCACAGTATGGGGTCTCTATCTATGAGAAAATGATAGATAGTCAGCTACCCAACACAGGTTCTATGGAAATGAATTATCATTATTATACAGTGGTATGTGCACATCATTATTAGGCGTCGATTGTGTCCAAAGTAACGATCGTACGCGTGCCTTCATGTGAAGTTTGAATTGACGGTGCATGTTCAAGGTCAATAGTGCTAACGAATTTTGTAATGTTGTCTCGGTTGATTTCGATTGTCGGCATTGCACAATGGCCGTGTTTTTTACTAAGGAGGTGATCTCGGATTCTATCTGCTATCCTTGCTTGCTCCAAGGCACGACGGCCTTTAATATCAAGTTAAGGTTTGACTAACGCCTGAAAGTGCTTTTTGAACTGCCGTGCCGCTGTTTTTAATTGTGTCGCGGTTTTGTGTTTGCGCGGTCAATTGCCCTGGTTGACATCCAGTGTCGGGTCCTTGTCTCCATATTTACGACCCAAGGCGTAGCAATAACAATTACACGCATATGTGAAAAGCAATAAGACATGTTACACAGCTTGTTTAGTTTATTTTTCATTTCATTCGCTCTCTTTTCAGAGCTTCAACAAGGTCGTTCTCAGCATTATGTTCTTTAACTTCGTATGTATTGCGACAACTGTGGTTGACAACTTAAATGTGACAATTTTCGTAAAGAATATTTCTAACATTGTCTTCAATTATTCTGCTCTCATGTGAGTTGTTGCTAATGGACAAAGGCTAAGGAATTCGATGAATGTAAATCCAATTGAAAGAAAGGTCTCACGGAAACGTTATTGCTGAAGGTGTAGACAAATCAAACCAAATGAAAACGGTAATGAAGGAGCACACCCAGGAAAATACAGAAATGGCACACATATGTCTATAAATATGTTCTACAGTTAAGATATGGATAGAAGTTGATTGCTTATAAACCGTGTTTACCATGTGTGCCAACAAAATCATTCTCAAATCCGAGCAAACAGTTTTTTTGGTTTGGAGAACTAAATTCACTGACTACGAGAAGTTAGGTCTGCACCAGGAAACCAACTGCACCAGTGGATTTAACACGTTGGCGACAATGCCATTTTTCGCGTGTCTGCCACGTGGGACCGCGCGCATTTTTCTTTGCGGGTCGACGTGGGGACGCATTGTCCAAGATGACAGTCTTTTTGACTAACATAACCTCAGGGGTCGCAAAAATTCATCGGAGACGAAACTTCACGAGAGGGGTAATCAACGGTGCTGAAGCATGAATATAGCATTAGTTTTCAGCGCGTGGCGCCAACTGGCGCCAGAGCCTCTTTCGCCTCCAATGTAAACTCGGGGGCAGGGGTAATCGGTGGTCCTAAGCATGAAAATGGCATCCTTTTTTGGCGCCGCGCCATTTGGCGTGAAGTTGGCGCCACATGGCGCCACGGCATTTTTGTCATCAATTACGCTGGTAAACTTGGTAACAGGGGTAATCGGCGGTCCTAAACACAGATATAGCATCCATTTCTTGGCGCCAATTGGCGCTGGAGTTTTCTTGCCACAAAATTTGCTATAACTGCGGGAGTAGTAGTAGTTGACGATTCTGAACACAGATTATGCATCCAATTTCTAGCGCCACGAATTTCCCATTGGGGCAATCACGAACTGAGAGTTGAGATGTTAGTGCCACAGATTGTGGCGCCATGTGGCGCCAACGTGGCGCCAAATGGCGCGGCGCCAAAAACGGGCACATTTTCATGCTCAGGACCACCGATTACCCCTGTTCCCAAGTTTACAGCGTAATTGGTGGCAAAAAGGACGTGGCGCCATGTGGCGCCAAATGGCGCGGCGCCAGAAAACGGATGCCATTTTCATGCTCAGGACCACCGATTACCCCTGTTCCCAAGTTTACAGCGTAATTGGTGGCAAAAAAGGGCGTCAACATGGCGCCAAATGGCGCTAGCACGTGTCTATAGGTGACACGAAGCCTGCTGAGCAAGGTGTGATTACTAGAAACTTGGAACATGCGCTGTGAAGTTTTTTTATGCTGCATCCCAACATCGACCCGCATTGTCCGTCGTGGCAAAAAAAGTGCGTCCCAACATCGACCCGCAATGTCGCCAAAGGGTTAATTGTAAGGCAAACAAGAAGCGCAGCAGTTTCTTGGCAAAATGTGAGCGTATTGCGACGCAGTTAAGATTTAAACCTAAGACTATCTCTCTTTTCACAACACCTAAATACTGAGTAGCCTGAGTTTTCGGATGGACACAACTCAGACGGTTCACAGAGAACAGAGCTGAAGTTAGCCCCTTGACGCTTTTGAATATTGCTGTAGCTACCAAATTTTAGTAAGTGTTAATTACACGTACCAGTATGAAATGGCAATTGCTTGCTTGATACTACCTAGTTTTGTATTTGCATAAAAAAATTATGCCATTTGTGGCCATAAAAACTATAAGCAATTTAAAAAATTCGACCATTTGATACTACTTATGGGCAAACACGCTAAAGACTAGCAAACATATTCGTTAACTCACCGTATGCGACGCTTTCCTATATATGTACTAACAGCAGCGCTCTTCCCTTGCTACTTTTCAAATTGGTGTAGGACATTCTCGTATTTCATTCCGGCACTTTCAAAGTGTCAACTCCTACTCTTGCTCTAACTCCAAATAGTTTGTGAGTTTGAAATAGTTTGTACCTGCGCTATTCCATCAGTCATGCAGCGTTATCTACACTTGACTACACTGTAACTTTTACGAGGCTGCAGATCAGCAAGTACGTCGTTTAAATGCCCGGGCCTAGGTCTTACACCCTGCGTTTGAATAGAATCAAAAAGGCACTCAACACACTGACGACAATAAGACGTCTCACTTTGCGCACCTCGTTGGACATTGAGACGCGGTTGCGCGTCTTACCCTTGTCATCCCTTTGCGTATGCGGGGATTCTTCTCACAACATAACATAACTGTAACCCACATGGGTCACGGTGTGATCAAATTTTTTTCTAAATCAAAATTCATTTGGCATCCACTACAGAGAAAATGACTTAAATTCCAATTTCCTTACCATTTCACGTTTTTTGATCGGAATTTCGCTACTATATCTTCGATTACTTTCTACGCATTGAATATTGCTGAAATGGTTTCGTACCTTTGAAGCTTCCCAAGGTTATCGTTCGAAATTTACGGGTGTGAGGTGTGACGGCCGCGCTCGCAAAAGCGCCCTTGTCCCACGCGGTGCAAAAACCCAAAACGCGCGATGTCGTCAACGTGTTAATTCAGTCCGCCTCGGAACGACTGCGATCGGGTGAGTTGTCCAGGCCTACTTTGTGCCTTCTAACCCCACGCAATAATGTTTTCTCGAGAACTTGAGGCACATGATGCATCCTTTTAAATTCTCCAGGTATACATGGATGGGTGAGTGAATGATTACTGCGATTTTATCACGCTGTCGCTGCTATACGATATGATTTTGAGATACGATGAACTCTTTGTCCTCAGCTTTATGTCGCCAAGTTAGGGGGATGTTGGGTCTTCATCATAGTGATTCTCCTCTATGGCTTCATATGGGACATTTATGTGTTTCACAAGTTACAGCTTGTCTAGTATCCGTTATTAGTAGACTTCAAGAAAATCCATAAGAGGTTGCTACGCTTAAGACCGCTTCAAGGAATGGTCTAAACAGGGGAATGATTGTGGAATGATGAAGTAGCAAGTTTCATTTTCTTTTCTCCAATAAATTTCTTATGCATTTACCCTTATACGGATGATGTTTAAGGTATGGCTTCATAATGCCACTGGTGATGCTCTGCCACAACGAACTCTGGCAAAACGAGCTGAAACGTCTAATTGAGAAGGTAACACAATCACTACAGTGCGTACCAAAAGTATGTGGACACCCTAGAATCGATTCTCAGGGGTCAGCTAAAGGCTTTTTATGTCATGAAACCTTCACCATTCAACTCCTAGTGGTCGATAACCTACAATGATATTTTCGGCAAAAGATTTCGTTCTAACTTAGCGAACTATTTTTCATGGAAAGTTTTTTCTTTGTATCAAAATTATGTGGACACCCTGAGGCAGATGAAGTTTTTGCATCGATTTCCTAACCTATTTTTACTTCTCCTTTCGTTACTTATTCTGGCATCATTCCTCTTCACGGCAAGCGTTTTTCTGAAGAAGACCAAGCACAGATATGGAGTCCTCATGTTGCTGAACCTTCCAATTGCGAAATCACACGTCAACCTGGTCGTGCGTCCTCGACATGTTGAAAAAGAATCCAGAATCCTGATGCTAAGCTCTCGACAATGACTAAGGGTCGTCCTCGATCGTTACTTATTCAAAACAGAAGAATAGCTCGTGATGTGTCAAAATTTCCTTTATCTGCTATTCACGTTCGCGTTCAAATGACCTTCCCGGTCTTAAAAATGACCAATTAGCGTTTCATTCGATCGAATGAGCGCATGATACAATAGAAAATAAAACTTCGTGTACGGATGCCTAGCACAAGTTGGCAATGTTGGAATTCCTACTCAAAAACTGAATCACAACATGGGACGTCAAACCCGGACAGACAGCGCATGTGGAAATGATAAGATCAGAACAAGGGACTATTTGTTATGAAACGCTTCTCACTTGGGCCCCATTGTTTTAGGTAGATCAGCTGGGTTTGTTGATGAGATTGACTGGAACCCGGTTACAGCCTTTTTCGGTAGTCCGCGTTCGCGAAACTTGTTTGCAGCATGCCCGAGAGGAGGTCCTGACATTTCTTTGGAAATGCTTAAAGGCAAAGGTCGGGCTTAGTTGACCTAAACCCTTTCGGTCATGTCTGTACTTGGTTACGCACCCGTACAGATGTTCCCACGCTCAAAATCTCGAACGCGGGTAATAAGGCCCCAGGGCACGTACTATGCGCTATCGCCGCCTGGCCCCGCTACGACCGCCCACCTTGGGATGTGGTGCGTGGCTGGCATAACGTGTGAAATCAGCTAGGTTGATTGCCGTATCAACCGATAGAACGACTGACATCTTCAGAAAACTTGTTTGTACGTGCCTCTTTCCCAAGCCAGCCTCCTTCACTGCTAGTGGGAAAGAGGGTTTTGTTAACGGCCTTGTCGACGGTTTTTCTCAGTTTTTCTCCACTGTCGTTCCGCTTCGCATCTCTATACTCAGTTTCAATCGCCATAATACCCACTTATTGAGCCCGACTTTTGCCTTTGAAGGTCCATCCAGTGTTGATCGAAAAATTAGGGCTAGTTTATTCCTCAAACCTCATCCTTATTGAGAAGTAGAGGTATCGTGGTTCGCGGTCTCTACGTCGTTGAACGAAGAGTATATCACGAGTGATCTAACACGTTATGAAATTCGCTGATTGGGAACAGATCGACAAGACAGGTATCGAGAGCCTGGTTCAGAGCATGCCAAACAGAATGTCTTAACTTACTAGAAGCTTTGGTAGGCCTACCGATTTCTAGATTCTGAAGATATTGTCGTTCGTTTTCCTCCAAAAGTGTTCACATACTTTTGATACAGGGGTACAGTGATACAAGGTTTTTTCATCAATTAAAAAAATAAAGCTGCATGTAAATTTGTGAGAAACAAGAACTTCCAAGGTATTTGCAAACGAGAAATTGAATGGTGGCAGTCTCATGATGCAGAAGTCATCGTTTTTCAGAAAATGAAAACTTTTAGGGTGTCGGCTCTCGGCACTACTCTCGCGCGGTAGAGAGCGATGATCGAGAAAATCCTGAATGCACGCTTGACCCTGTCGCAAGCGCATGATGAGATTTGATTTCCACTAATTTTCAGATTCACCGTAATCGTGTACATGACGATGCCACAGTACATATCAAGTCTACTTTTGGCAAAGAGATAATGGTGGATAGTATTGAACACTCACAAAGATATTTTGAAATGCTGCGGAAGGACTGGTCCTACCGATAACAAACGACTGAGTCAAATGCCGTCATTTCCCGAAGGTTCTCCGGTCAGTGAGGATAAATCAGAAAAAAGCAACATGAATAAATGGCTACGATGTTACGACCAACGCTGCACGTTGTGCAAATAAAACACTGCGTCATGCAGGAAACCTACCAGTGAAAATTTTGAAGGCGAAGTACATGGAAGAGCAGCCTTTTGGAAATCGCGTTAGAGGGGTCAGTGAAGCAAAAGAAAAAAATAACGAGAAAATGGTCTAGAACCATGGATATGGAACCAGATCCGGCCCGTTGATTCCTAAATTCAATAGAGTCCCACTGGTGCTGGCGTCATCAGTGCGAGCGCTCTGCTCTCCGCCTCTGCTGGAACCGTAGTGTCTACAGCATGAGTCCGACGGCGAGAAGTCAGCCTGTCGGTGGGCGTGCAGCGGCGCTAACGGCGCGAATACTACCCGTCTAGGCGCTGGGACACAATCTCTGATTTAAAGCCAGAATTTACAATGAAAAGTCAGTTCCTTGGAAATAAGGAGTAGAGGTGGCTAGTGGTACACAAAAGAAGGAAAAAACATGTGAAACGGCCCAAAACCCGAGAAATGGGACCCCTTCCTTGCCCGTTGATTTCCGCATTGATGCGACTCTCATCGCTGTGCCCTCTTCAACACTACGCTCTCTGCTATCTAATCACTCGCCACGTATAGACCTGCGGCGAGTGATTAGATAGTCGGTGGGCATACCCCGCTGCCAGTGCACGTGTTGATGGACGTAGCCGTTTGGACACGGCGAGCACCCGAAGGCAGCGTGAATTATGATGTTCCTGCCGCAGTCACGTACAATGCGCGACGCATTGACGCGCTTTCTGGAGGAACAACTTAAACAAACCAAATGCCCTACCTCTCCAGGGTAACGATCCCCTGCCTACGCGCGCAGCGCCCAGCCTGCGCGGCGAGGCTGGGGCGCTGCGCGCGTGGGCAGGGGCAGGAATACCCCGCGTGCCGCAACATCCCACGCGATGGTTAGTCGAATCTGTGTGCCATCCTCCACCTTCTAAATTAGCTGCGCTTGGTATAGCTGGCGAGTTTATCTCGACGCATTCTCTCCTTATCGAGAGAGCGCACAGAAAACGAGAAGTGGGAAGCAAGCACACATGAAAAATTGACAACACGTGAAAGTGCGCGCCCTAGTGCCAACGCTTCAGTGCGTTCGCGCATGTACGTGACTGTGACAGAACCATCATAATCCAAGCTGACTTCGTGTGATCCACCGTAGTCAAGAACGGCTTAGGTCCGTGTTGATGCTTTTGGCAGGTCCACACTTCATACGCAATGGCGCCAAGTATGAAAGAAGCACAATGGGGATGGGACAAAAAGAAAGAGCAGCGGACTCTGCGACAGTGCAGGAGTAACACTAGGAAAAAGAAGAAGAAGAAATTTCAAATGAATCTCCTGAGAGGAACTTCTGACTCATCACCAATTTTGTCAAAATATACCACGGTTGTCACCATTTCAAGCCAGTTCTCGAAAAGAGAAAATCTCATTCATTCAACAGACGTACAAGTTTCTATGCACACAATCTTTCGGAAATATGCAAAAATAAGTTAATAATAATTGGAAATTATTCACCGTCGAAGTACTGCTCAACATCATTCACAAAATAAACTATCAGTACTGTCAGATGCGAGACAATCAATCGATCACTAAAACGATAGCTGAATGCTCTACCTATAACGTCAAATGGCTATTTAGAATTTTGCAATAAATAGTTTTGAGCTCTGCGACAAAAAATCTGCCCATAATCGTCCATATCTGTTTGTATACATCAAAACCTTCAATATCGCGACAATCCGCTGCCGCAAAGGCAGGTCTTGCGACAGATCAGGAGCATTGTCGGACGATGAGAGTGGCACAAGCCACCTCGGGCCCAGCTTTCGCACAACGCTCCTTTTTCGTCCACTTCCGTAGAGCAATCTGTTTTGTGAGGTGTTTCTGGAATCGTTCAGATTTAGATTACGGCCGGAACTTCTTCAACAAAAAGGTGATATTCTACCCATGATAACAGGTTCCATACAGTATCAACACCAGTACGACCCCATCCACATTCACACTTTGCCGACCTCTTCACCAGGAACGCTCAGGAATCCACCACAAAGATACGCAGTCAAGTGCAATGCGCCCATGACGCTTTCCCCAATTAGACATGAAATCCGCTCACCACCAATAAAAGGAGCAGGTGTCACTCTCGCTTTCAGGGGGAGGGGTGAGGGTGGTGCAGCTGCTACGGCAAATAGGCTCATCGATGCAAACCCGAGAACCTTTTACACGGGAGAGATCGTTCCAGCAAAGGTAGTGATCATGATGGCCGGGGGTAGTAAAGATTCGACGACTTAGTTGATCGCCATTGGTGGAAAGGTGTTATGAAGCGGTGCCAACCACACCCCCAGGGCGTTGAGGGGTCTAATCCACCAATGGCTCTCATCAACCGCATCGTCCTTCAGCCATCTTGATCACTGCTCAGGTAGACTGCAGGAGAAACCTCTGAGTTACGGGCCGCAGCATATGCTGCCGACACGCCCACTCGTCCGTGATTGGCTACCACCACACGGGTTACTGTGTGCAGACGCGAGCCAGCCAGTCATAGACTAGTGGGCGTGCCGGCAGCATATGCTGCCGACACTGCTGCGGCCCGTAACTCGGTGGTTTCTCCTGCAAGTCTACCTGAGTTGTCTAATTGCGAAATGTGTCGGTAAATTCAGGTTCACAACAAAAACGCTACGATATTATAAGACTTAGCGCTGGAAAATTGAACATTTTTGCAAAATCATCATGGTGTGTATTTAACAGGGAAGAAAGAGGCATTGGACAGCCTCCCAATAGCCTTTGCGTCCTCATTTTTAAACTTATACTCTTGAGGATGACAGAGCTCAAATATCTCTCGGAGGTTTCCAAGTTTTCACCTTCTTTCTCACTTGTTCCCTTTTTTAACTGATCTATTATACACATGTGTGAGCAAATGAAACAATTCCACGTACGAGGAGCCTTTGTTGAAGTCTCAGACCGAACCGTGTGGGCTGTCATCCTCCTCACAAAGTCACTTCTTGGTGGTTCATCTGAAACTTCATCGTTATCTATTGAGAACCAAAAAATGCCAAGCCTTTTGAATTTTTTTGATGTACGTGAATTGCCCTCATCATCTTGTGGTAGAACAGAAAAAGCGCAGATCATTCAGGAACGATTCGGACAGAATGGGGAAGGTGTCAGCAGCTCGCGATTCCGCTTTTACCAACTGTATCGGTCCAATC